CTACAGGTGTGGGGACACCAATCTCATCAATATTCATTGTGCAGGCCACTGACTTTGAGAAAAAGAGTGTCACTCTAAAATTCTAACACTTTAGTAATCAAACACACAAAATTTCAGAATGTCTCTTTCACCTATGTGTAGCCAACCCCTGTGTCTATAATTCAGAGCTCAAAAGCCTTGGCTAGAAATGTCTATAATGTGATTTTTTACAATGTCTCAGCATGTCTGAAAATAGGTTTTTGAAAAGCATATGGTGTAGAGTTGATTTAGAAAAATAGTTGAAAAATAGAAAAATAACATTCTAAGTGGTTTCAGATTATTGGTGCTAAGTTTGTGCTGAATAGTAACACTTTGGGATAAATGTTTTTTTTTAGATAGGTGAAATATTTTAAAATGTCAAGGCATGTCAGACTACCCCGAAAGTGGCTGAGAGGCCGCAGACCCCAGAGGGTTAATTAACACCAGTGTTTTCAGTTAAGCGAGAAGGTGCACAGATTTCAGTACCTGTTTTATTGTGTCTGCCTTTTGTTAAGGGATATGTCATGAATAAACAGACAAAAACATAGCAATGTACTTGCCTGCAAAGGCTGTATGAAGCAATGCTAGGGTGTGTATTTCATGATTATTATAATAACAAAATTAATAACATAATAAAGAATAAGTTTTGAACCAGGCATCTTCTAATCACAAGCACAGAGGCTTAGCTTGTGGAGCCACACGCCGCCCTTGTCCTGATGGCTGGAAGCCTTGATTTTGAAAATGAGGGGGAAAAATGGACCAGTTTTGTGATGTCATACAATGATGACTGTGATTGGTTAAAGTGAAACGCAAGCCCCTCCCTTGTTGACTCAGGGACACACTGAACTCGGCAAAATCAGGATGTCGGCTAACAGGTGTGAATCACTGGGCTCCCTGAGTCCCCTTCTGAGTGAGTCAGCTGTAGGGCAGAAGGTGCTGTGATGGCATCAGCCCACGCCTTTGCTCTTTTCCCGGCTGCAGTGCAGTTTGCTGGCTCTCTGGGCAAGCTGACCGTCTCCAGCGTGAACAATCCCAGGAAGATGATCGACGCTGTGGTGACCACGCGTAGCGACGACGAGGTCAGCATCCAGCCGATGGCCGCCCGTTTGCTCAATCTCTCCTGTTAGCTATCATCGTCTCATTCTGTATATCTTCCATCTTTCAGGAGAAACGGGAGAAGCAGGTGTGGAACAAGAGGAGACAGATCCTCTATACTGTGGAAAAGGTGAGGAGCTCTGAGGGGGTGTGCGGGGGGGGATTCAGACCTGTCTGATCTTAAAGGAGGGGGAATTTGCTCCATGACTGAGGTCTTTGCTTACTTTTGCTTTGCTTGTCCATCTCAGATGTATAGTCTACTGCTGGAGGTGCAGGACTTTGAGAAGAAGTTCATTCAGACGCCAGAAGAACAGAGAGATGCTCTTCTGGACCAGCACAAGAACCACACGATCCAGCTGTACAACACGCTGAGGGAGAAGGAGTGGGACGACAGGTGAGGAGAGTCCGGGGTCTCGCACCCACAGCCGGGGTCACATGTAGCCCATCCTCCAGTGTTCCTGGCCTCTGCTCCGTGTCTCTCTTTCAGCGTCCTGCTTCTCGACATTCTTAGTCTTTGATGTTTTGTTATCCATTTACTTAATTCTATGTAAGAGTCTTTGAGATCCTGAAAAGTGCTACATATGCTAAATGTATTATTATTATTCTGTCTCTGAGCTTGTCCTTTCCTGTTCTCCGTCCTCAGAGTCAGTGATGAGCAGTGCCTGATGATCATGTCGGTGAGGAAAGGGAAGCGGCTGGTCTCCAGGCTCCTCTCCTTCCTGCCTCCACCCCAGGCGGCTGCGGTTGTCATGGCGATTGCCCGGAATCTTCCCGCCTTAGCGAAAAAAGACAAGCAGGATCAGGTATGATCTGCCCGAGGGTGTGATACGGTGACAGTACGATACCAGTTGGGTGTGTGTTGGAGCCTGGAAGAGCCAGGATCTTTCCCAGGCCCACTTCTGTCTGGCCCTGTCCCCCAGGTGCTGTGCTGGTTGGTGGAGCCAGTCTCTGTGGTGGTCCAGTCCCTTTCCAGCTCTGCCCTCACCGACCTGCTGCAGGAGCTGCAGGGCAGCGAGGGTCAGCTTCCCCGCGTGCTCCAAAACAAGGTGCCCCGAGTGCTGCCTGCTCTGCCCACCGCCAGTCTGTACACCAACTGTGCTGTTACACCAGGCACCCCATGACCTCCGACCTCTGACCTGCTCCTCTGCCCTCCAACAGTTTGGTGTGACGCTGCTGTACCTGATTCTGAGTGAGGGAGAGCGGATGCAGAGCTCTGACGCCAACTGCCAGCTCATGGACGACAATCGATGGTACGCAAAAGCAGTCTTCCATCGCAGTGGGTTATGGTGCCCCCTGCAGGCTGGACTGAATGCTGAACCACTACCGGCTGAGAGCAATATAATCACCCTGGGTCAGTGGCCAGCGATGTTAAGTGATGTCACCAGGTCATTGGCACATAGCTGTACTTCCTGCTGCTGAGGTTTGAGATGATGGAGTCCTGAAGTTCTAAGGCGTTCCAGCTGTGATCCCCATACTGACATTTGCTAGAGTGTGTGTCAAAGTTAAGGTGCAGTCACACCAGCATGAAAAAAAAAATGTCTCATTCGCTTCCATTATAGCTGCACGACGCAAAAATCAGATTCCTCACTTGTAGTAGCAGAGCGATTTCTTACTGAATTAAGAAATTTTGAATTTGCACCAAATTTGAACTCGTACCCGTGAATTCAAATAGCCCAACCAATCAGGTTTAGTGTGGGTGGGGTTGATCTTTCATATTCATCAACCGTTGATGTTAATCCATAAAACCAACAGTGTCCTAGAACAAAATGCCACATGCTAAGCCACGGCCACTTTAGCTCAGTGCCACAAAGATGGCCTGTTTTCCCACCAGTGTGACCGCACCTTTGGGGGGTTCAGTGTGACATGGCTGAGTGTTGGCTATTGGGCTGTTACATGTGAGTAGCAGCGCTATACTGACACAGCCCCCAACCCCCAGGACGGAGCTGGTGTTCTCAGTGACCCGGAAGCTCCTGGAGGTGCCCCCTGCCTCCCTGTCTCCTCCTCTCTTCACTCCCCCCAACCTGCTGTCACTCTTCTCCCGATATGTGGACCGTCAGCGGCTGGAGCTCCTGCAGGAGAAGTTACAGTGAGTCGCATTCTCACATACGTGGTTCCGGAGATTCTTACTGCATGCATCTGTCAGGTCACACAATAGCAGGCATGGCAGTGCGATCCTCACATAAAGGAGATGTTCTTACCTGCGTGCTTCTGCACAGCAGCTGACCTTAAAGGTGCAGCCTGAGCTCAGCATATCTGCCTCATTCACACCTGCCTTTCATTCGCTCCGCCTGCTCCACACATTTTTAAAACTGACACACCGAAAGCTGACTTCTGTCTGACCCCATTCTCTCTCTCTCTCTCTCTCTCCCCCTCCTTTCAGGATCTCTGCTCTGTCTAGGTAGAATTGGCTTCAGACGTCAATTATGTCCTATTGAAGAGCCAACTGACCATGTTAGCATATTTGAGTGAGTGAGTGAGTGAGTGAGGGAGGGAGGAATATTTAAGGGTAATGATTTTAATCAGATTTTTCTTCAGTATGCATGTTCACTAGGGCTGTCTGTGTGTGAGTGTGTGCAGGTCTGAGATGGAATGAAATAATGGCAGAACAGAAATAAAGAACTTTGTTTTTAAATCTTTGTTAACATGAGGCCTGTGGCAAAACATCAAATTAAAATGATTTCTATTGTTTAAACTGTGAATGCTGCCTGTTATTTCACCATGCGCACTGTGTACACTATTTCTGGGCATATGTCACAGAGGAAACGAAGTCATCCAGAATTATCAGCATAATTGTGAATGGTATTCGTAGAAAGCATGGTGATGCAGTGGTTAGCACTGTCGCCTTGCATCTCTGGGACCAGCGTTCAAGTCTCTGCCAGGGTTCCATGTGTGGAGTTTGCATGTTCTCCTTGTATTGTCGTGGGGTTTCCTCCAGGTACTCTTACCCCCCCCCCCCCATCCAAAAACATGCCAATGACTTACAACCCCTGGCCTAGCGCCCCATATAGCTAATGACTTACAACCCCAGGCCTAGCACCCCATGTAGCTAGCCAATGATTTACAACCCCAGGCATAACCTCATGCAGCTAGCCAATGATTTACAACTCCAGGCCTAGCACCCCATGTAGCTAGCCAATGACTTACAACCCCAGGCCTAGCGCCCCATATAGCTAATGACTTGCAACCCCAGGCCTAGCACCCCATGTAGCTAGCCAATGATTTACAACCCCAGGCCTAGCACCCCATGTAGCTAGCCAATTATTTACAACCCCAGGCCTAGCACCCCATGTAGCTAGCCAATGATTTACAACCCCAGGCCTAGCTTCCCATGTAGCTTGACAATGACTTACAACCCCACATCAAACACTCCCTATGCATGCATGCATCCCAGTACCCCTGTCCAGCAGCTGGACCATTTTAGGCCTCATCAGTACTGGATTTGCCAGATATAATGCAATGATGCTGCAGGCAAACATTGGAGAGGAAGCAGGCTGGCATACAGATTCAAATGCATACAAATGAGTGGTGTCATCCTGTGCACAAGGTGCAACAAAGAGAAGAAACCACCCAGGCATCAGCAGTATTTTGGCTATTGGTATTGTGAGGGGAGACAATGATACAAAAGAAAAACATTAAAAACAATGACATTTACATGCACGCACATGCAATTATACCGTTCACTTTTTCAGTGTTTGTAGTTTATATTTGTTTAAATATTTACATTTATTCCTATGCAATTCTGTGGGGTTTTTTCTGCATTTTTGGTTTAAAAGAATTAACAATAAATTATGTTTTTGTATTAATTTATTAAAATCAATATATAATTCTAGTTACTTCTGCATTCTTATATTTCATTTTTATTATATTTACATGTCCCTGTATTAATTACTACTAATAAACCAATATTTAAAATGGAACTGTGAATGTAACTAATTCTTTTAAAAGCTTTAATCAAATCACATTTAATTGTAATGTGCTTTTCTTCACACATAGTGTATATACAGTATGTGCGTAATCTGCGATACTGTCGGTTAATTTTAGCGACATCCTTTGTTTCGCTCGTGATAATTAATAGTCGAGCCGCGATTTTTGTATACAGCAACTGCCATTTTTGTACAGTTACGGAAGCACATCCTCTACGTACACACACCCGCCTACTTTTTCAGAAAAGAATCTTGTGTCGGTCTTTTTGAATTTTGACACAGCAAATTTAGTTACCAGTTTGCTGGACACATGGGAGATCGAGCAGATTTTCACATTTTTTTTACATAAATGGTTGGGGAAATGCCCGCTCCCGGGGAATTGGCAAATCAATTCCTTCAAAACAAAGATCTTATGTGAGAGGCATGAGTCAAGTACACCGTCAGTCTCCACCTCGAGATTATTAATTATTAATTCTTCCGGGTGCACATGCCGCAGGAGGAGGGTACGGAAATATCTGTTTTTATGTGAGTGCAGGTAAGCTCGCTGGGAAGATGTACATTTTTGGTTATTCTTGTAAGTTTTTTTGAATGATGCAGCCTTTCAAATTTCGTTTTGCCCTTGAAATTCATGAAGAGGAAGAGTAATTGAAAACTTCTAAAGCTTGTGAATTATCTTGGACATTGTGAATTCGCATAGTGCTTCTCTGTATTTAGAAGCGTTTGTTTTTCTATGTGTTTTCCCGTTTTCATTGTAATTTTGTGTTAGCCTTCTGGTGCTTATTGTAAAGTTGTTTAATCTATCTCTTCAAGCCCTCGTCGAAAATTGTGGGTCATAAAAAGTTTATTTAAAAAATTAAAAAACACCGCGTCACGAAGTACACGCCGGTGACGTAAAGTCTGAGTAATGACATATAAGTATTTTCGCTTCTCCATCAACAGGTGGCTCCGTGGCGCAATGGATAGCGCATTGGACTTCTAGTCAAGCACTTGAGATGTGATTCAAAGGTTGTGGGTTCGAGTCCCACCGGAGTCGCATATTTTATTTTTTAAAAATACTTCAGTAATACTTAATATGCACAGATACATGCTCTGTAGTAACTTCTCAGAGCGACGGAATGTTGGCTCCGATGTGCGTGGATGGAGTGGCAGAACGCAAACACACTTGCAGTTTTAGAGAAAGTTGTTGTTTAAGCGCCTATGCTGCGATGCCCGGAGGTACATTTGAGTGTGAACATTAACTTTTAGTGCTTTGGAATTTAAGGAAAAACAGCGAAAATATGGTGTATGACCTATACACACTTGCAGCACATGTACACACATGCCGATTTTATGTATTACTTTCTCTGAGCCATATTTCAGTTTAAAAAAAGGCTGTGAAAGTAAACGAGTACTCAGTCTCAAAATAAAAACCTCAAAGGGAAAATGCCATTCTGCTTTGATATTTTTGCTTCAGCTGCAGTGCAAAAATCCGCCCCTTTCAGATTTTTCTCATCTGGTAGAGCAGGTTTTCAAACCCACCCCCCCCTAACAAGACTGCGAGGTCACCCACGGTTATTCGTCCCTAATCCGTGAGTCAGCCGTGTTTGAAATTCACTTTCTAATATGGATGGGATATTATTTGTTATAGGAACTGTTTGTTCCGACGAGGTGCTCGCAAAGTTGAGCAGCGTCTTCGCTGCATGACACGGTAGCCGCTCATTGGGACCGACGGGCAGCCCCCGCTGACCCCGGCTAACGCGTTAGCCTGCAAGCTAGCCGACTTCCTTTTCGGAGAGGGAGGTTCGCAGGCGGCTGGAGGTACAAGCCCTTATGATTTAGATGTACGTGTGAGACAGCCGGCTGGGTTATATGCTTTTCAAGAGTCCGTTTTGTAACTTAAGGAGCTCTTTCGAAGAATAGGCAGGGTGCACTGACGGGGGATCTAATGCGTGAAGCTGTCTTAGTGTAAAGCAGCGCTGGCGGATCCAGGGGGTCGAAACTGGTACGGGTTCGGGACCGGACCGGGGATCGGCTGACACGGACAGAGAAGTCATACATTCGGCTCTTTAACGTACGTCCTTGGTCCAAATACTATTGGGTCGCTTTGGAGGGAACCGAGGCAGCCGGCTTGGTAGCAGCCGACGGGAGTGGCCGTCTTGACGGAGAACTCAAGCGCCCGGGCCTCAGCAATTCAGTAGGCCGCAGTTCGCTGTCTGCTCCGCTCCGTTTTATTTATTCATAAAGCGACCTGACACGCTGCTCGTCCATTTTATGGGATAATCTGGACCGTGTCGTGCGGAATGTAAGTTGCCGATTGCGCCTTAGTAGAATGATAGCGTTGTGTTAGACTAGCTAGCCGCCCGGGTCCCTGGAAGGCGAGCTGCTTTTCGTACACGTATGCACATCTAGCCAGCGGCTCGTGTCCGCTAACGCCGTCCGACAGCCCACCGGTGCGCCGGTAAGGCGCCGCCGTCCGCTGGTAGATAGAAAATATCAGGTTTTTTTTTATTATTATTATTATTTATTTAAAATGTGAAGGTGTCCTCGGCACTGGCGAAACGGCATTAAAACTTTAGCGCGCAGTTTGTCTTCATGCGTCCTCGAAAGACGAACCGGGGCACTCAGTGAGTCTAAATATTTAATTAAAAATAAGTGATTTGCTGCTGTTGTGGATTCTTAAGATGTTTCTGCTTGTACCGTTTGTAGGTGATTAGGCCCCATCCTAAACTGCGAAGCCGCGGGCTGGCGTCATGTCGGAGCCCAAGGCACCCACGCCGACACCCGGGGACACGTACAAGGGCTGGCTCTTCAAGTGGACTAACTACATAAAGGGCTACCAGCGGCGATGGTTCGTCCTGAGCAACGGCCTACTGTCCTACTACAGGTAAATAGGAAGCAGACCGTCACCCCACTGCAGGTAAATAGGAAGCAGACCGTCACCCCACTGCAGGTAAATAGGAAGCAGACCGTCACCCCACTGCAGGTAAATAGGACGCAGACCGTCACCCCACTGCACGTAAATAGGAAGCAGACCCTCATGCTCACACCCTTATGTGCCTGGTGCTCTGTGTGAAGCCCCTTATCAGATGGGTTGCATGTGTGCATTTCTCCAAGGTGAGCAATATCCAATTAGTAACTATTAATAGTGTACTTCTTATCACAATTTGTATTATAGTTGGGGAAGGTCTTGCTAAGCATTTCATGAACATAGCTTTTAATGTTTGTTTAATTCTGGTCAAAACAGGACGCAGGCAGAGATGGGGCACACCTGCCGGGGCACAATCAACCTGGCCACGGCCAACATTGCCGTGGAGGACTCGTGCAACTTCGTCATCTCCAACGGCGGTGCGCAGACATACCACCTGAAAGCAAGCTCGGAAGTAGAGCGCCAGCGATGGATCACTGCCTTAGAGCTGGCCAAGGCAAAGGCTGTGCGCATGCAGGCCGAGTCTGGTGAGAGCGCCCACTCATGGCTGCGCTAAACAGTCTGAACTGGCTCTCCATTCAGTATATCATCAGGTCCATTGTCCAAGTTACGTGGAAACAGCCCACATCTGTGGAGCTACATGCTAAGCGTAGCACATTGCAGAATCCATACATCAGTGCAAATGTGATGACAGGATGTATATCGCACAAGACAGTGGAGTAACAATAAAACACTGTATGGGGGTTAGAGGTGCCAGTTTACAGGGAGTGGGATTTGAAACCCCAACCGTGGAGGTGTGAGGTAATAGTGCCTGGACCACTATGCCATTTAATCAAAATAAGCCTTGAAAAATCACCTTCTGGGAAACATCTTGCAGTTGGGTCCCCTTCATACCTGTAGGGTAGGGCAGAAATGTTCCTTAGTGAGGAAGTGCTTCTTTTCACATGAGCTCTGCTTCCATGGCATCCCAGATGATTCGGGAGATGACTGCCCTCCATCGTCCCCCCCATCGGCGGGACAGGCTGGGGGGGCCCGTAACGCGGAGGTGCAGTCAACACTGCGCACGTTGGGGAACAAGGTGGAGGACCTGAGCACCTGCAATGATCTCATTGCCAAGCACGGCTCTGCCCTGCAGAGGTACGGGGCTGCCGCCTCCCCCTAGCCGCGGGGTTCGGGAGGGGGGTCTTGTGACTTTGGGACTAAAACAGCAGCTGCTTCCTTATTTCAGTAATGACCTATTTAAGAGGTTGATAATGACAGTGACTGTTAAATATGTTACTGCTATAAGCTCCCTCATTTATCTGGGGCGTTTGCTGGCAGCGATCGGCGGGTGTTTGCTCGTTCTGAGGAAGGTCGCCGTGTGACGCCCTTGTGTATTTCCTCAGATCCTTGTCAGAGCTGGAAGGGGTGCGTCTGGGGGGAGATGCAGGAGACAAGATCCGGCAGGTGACGGAGAGAGCCACGCTGTTTCGAATCACGTCTAACGCCATGATCAACGTGAGTGTGTCTCCAAGCAGCGGTGGTGCTCCTAGCCGTGTCCGAGTGCATCTGTGATGCCTGTTCTCCTCCTTGCTCCCTTCCTCCTCCTCCTTGCTCTCTTACTCATTCCTTCCCTTGTTCTTTCCCTCCTTCTTACACCCTTGCTCCGTCCTTCCCTCTCCTCACTCCTCCTCCCTTGCTCCCTCCCTCACTTCCTTCATCTCCCTCCTCCTCGCTGGGTCCCTCCTTCCTCCTCACTTCTCTCTCCTCACTCCTCCTCTTTTGCTCACTCTCTCCTTTCCTTCTTGCTTATTCCCTCCTTTCCCTCTCTCCTCCTCACGCCTCCTCTTTTGCTCACTCCCTTCATTCCTTTTTGCTTGCTCCCTCCTCCTCTCTCCCTCCCTTCTCCCCGCTACTCCTCCTCCCTTGCTCCCCAGGCTTGTAGGGACTTCCTGGCTCTGGCCCAGGCCCACAGTAAGCGCTGGCAGAAGGCCCTGCAGGCAGAGCGGGAGCAGCGCGTCCGCCTCGAGGAAACCCTGGAGCAGCTGGCCAAGCAGCACAACCACCTGGAGAGAGCATTCCGGGGGGCCACGGTGCTGCCTGCCTCGCTGGCCAACACCCCCGGAGATAGCAAAGGTGGGTGGGCCTACAGCCACTGGCTTCCTGTCAGAGCATCACCACTGAGCTCACTCGCTGCCCTGAGCTCTCCTGCAGAGCTGACGCCATCTGGCAACATCAGTATGACCCACATGGCTGGTGACGGTCAGTGTGAAAATAACATGTGGCTGGAACAGGGTCCGTGCCTGGAAAAGGGGACGTGAGTGACGAGGATGACGAAAATGAATTCTTTGACGCCATGGAGGATGTACCAGAGTTCATCACCGTACCTGCTGACCCCAAGTACCACAGGTTGGTCCCTATCTGCCGTGGGCTCTCACCCGGTGCTGCATGGGAAATTTAACCGTGTGTGTCTCCTAGGAGATCGGGCAGCAATGTCAGCGGTATCAGCAGCGAGATCGGCATGGATGAGCAGTCGGTGAGTGAGTGTGTGTGAGCATGCAGTCGTCGTGCGAGCAGGCATGCATATTTGTGGCATTCAGTTGTCAAGTCGGGAGGCTTGTCTTGCTGGAATGTGTGTGATCCTTTTGTGGAGAGCGGGAGACTCTACTCCGTCATTGGAGGGCAGATTTAAAACGTGAAAACTAGTCGCTGTTTAACTCACAGGTTGTGATATGGCTCACTTTTATTCATCTGTAGTGGTGCTGACTGTTTCGTGCCTGGGTTCCAGATCAGTTAAATAGGGGTATGTGACCATCAAATGCAAAACCTCTCTGCTGTAACACTCACAGCTTGACGAACAGTCGCTGGCGTCCAATCCGGAGTCTCCCCAGCCGCAGGAGGTGGAACCAGTGCGAAAGAGGCGGACCCGCATTCCAGACAAGCCCAACTACTCGCTGAACCTGTGGAGCATCATGAAGAACTGCATTGGCAAGGAGCTCTCCAAGATCCCCATGCCCGTAAGCCCATTCCTGTCATTCTCCAGTCTCCCTCATGGTCCTTTGGGTGTCCATGGCGTAAAATAAGCTCTCTGCCACCCCCTGCAGGTGAACTTCAACGAGCCGCTGTCCATGCTGCAGCGCCTTTCAGAGGACCTGGAGTACTCTGACCTGCTGGACAAGGCGGCCAAATGCCAGAACCCCCTGGAGCAGCTGTGCTACGTGGCAGCCTTCTCCGTCTCGTCCTATTCGACCACCGTGCACCGCACTGGAAAGCCCTTTAACCCACTCTTGGGGGAGACCTTCGAGCTGGACCGCGTCAAGGAGAGTGGCTACCGGTCCTTGTGCGAGCAGGTAAGCGTGTCACATGACACGGCTCCCTCGAGCGAGCAGGTGAGCGTGTCGCAGAAAGCTAGACAAACTTAACAAACTACCCCTCCTGCTCCCCCCCACAGGTGAGCCACCACCCCCCAGCTGCAGCCCATCATGTGATCTCTGAGCGAGGATGGACCCTGAGGCAGGAAATCGCCCTGGCCAGCAAGTTCAGGGGGAAATACCTCTCAATCATGCCCCTAGGTGAGTGGGTTGGGGCATCTCCAGGTGCTGTGTGTGTGGGCTGACCCTAACTGACTCTCCTTGCTGCAGGAACTATCCACTGTATATTTGAAAAGAGTAACAATCACTACTCCTGGAAGAAGGTCACCACAACCGTGCATAACATCATCGTGGGGAAGCTGTGGATCGACCAGGTGAGAGCGCTTTGACACCCCCCACACTCACACACCCTCTTCCCCCAACACCTCCAATCCAGGGCTGCCACTAATGACTATTTTTCTATCACCTAATTATCCTCCTGTAAATCAAATTGACTGTTTTTATTTAAGTTCATTTTATTTTGACAACAACAAACTGTCATTGCATGACTTTAGGTAAGATGCTGGCAATTCGGTACCATGTGGATGTTACTTACACCCACAATTTGATAAGCTGATTAGTAAACTTTAAATATTAATGAGGCATATTGTGATGGCCGAAAAATAAAATTCGCCGTATCCTTATGCTTATTGAATCGACTGTTTTGGTAAATCATGGAAGCAATAAGCACTCAAATGGCGGTGAAGGAATTGACAGCTCTGCAACCACAGCATGTTAATAGATAATGTGACATTACAAGGTAAAAAGACGTCGATAGCGTGGCAGCTTAAAGTCCGACGTCTTTTTGGTAAATATGATTTTCATTTTTATTTTGGTTAACAAATATATATTTTTAATTTAGTTTTGTTTCAGTTTTAGCTTGATAACACTGGTCACTACAAGGCCAACACGCACGATCACACACGATCACACACTTGCACCGTCAGTAAGCCCAGATTCTAGCCTGAGCATTTTCCCAAACCCCTATTGAATGGAAATTCTAAGGTAGCAGGCAGACAACTTTATGGCTTTAGTAATGGGTATATTTAGCAAGTACAGTGGGGAAAGTTATTAGGAATTATGTGGTTTTGCCTACTCTGGCAGTCCATCATCCAGAATAGCGCCTGTCTGTTTCCTCTTCAGCTGCTTGTGCATGGCGCTAGTGTCGCTGTGGTATACCATCAAAACTTTGCAGTGTACAAACCACCTTTTTTGTTGTGATCATTTGAACCACTCCCATAAATATGTAGTGATTTTGAAGAGAGAAATGTGGTATATTGAATTAGTGTTTTAGAAATCGAAAAGGTAATTTCATTAAAACGATACAATGATTTAGAAAATATTGATGCCGACGCATTTTCAGTGTTGGCGTCATTGACAGCGTCAGCTAATCGTGGCAGTCCTACTCCAATCCTGCGTGTGATAGTGTGCTGAATCTCCTTCCTAGTCCGGCGAGATCGACGTGGTGAATCACTGCACTGGAGACCACTGCCACCTCAAGTTTGCCCCTTACAGCTACTTCTCCAGGGATGTGGCCCGGAAGGTCGGTAGCTCTGTCGAGAGTCCGGTCCCAGCCTCCCTTACAGTTAAATCCAGGGAAAACATCTCGGGCATGACGGTAACAGTGACATGCTGGCACTGCAGGTCACAGGCGTGGTGAGTGACAAGGATGGCAAGGTGCACTTCGTGCTGTCAGGCACATGGGATGAGAAGATGGAGGTGTCCCGCGTGATGCAGAGCAGCCGAGGAGGTGGCGGCGAGAATGGGACCGACGGTGCGGGCACGGGAGCTCTGGAAGAAGAACCCACTTCCGTGAGTGTCTGTGGCTGTCTGTTGCCCTTTTCTGGTGATCCAATCACAAGTGTGCAGCGCTAAATACATCCGTTCACACCTGGCATCAACATGTGTCTTTGCATGCGTCTCGACTGACCACTTTTTAATCAGATCTCACTCTCCCCCAACTTATTTAACTAAGCACGGAAATCACTTCCGTATGCAAAACGTAGGAGAAGAAGAAATCAAAAGCTATTTGCACATTTCAGGGTAACCAAACCACCTATAATGTAGGGGTGGGAGAAAGTATCGATTGTAATAAGCATCGCGATGATTCTGAATCGATTCACAAATGTTAAGAATCGATTTTCTAAATGTTAATCGATAACGTAATGTTGACGGAACTCAAAAGGAACTGAAGTGCAGCGCTTAAATTCCTTATGGATCATTACAAAAACCTTGCTTTGAAAGTTCCATGTAGTCACACAGTGAGGGGAAAAGTTCTGGATAGAAAAAAAACATGCATCAAGATGCATCGATAATTATTTTATCATTACAACATGACCCTATGAATAATAAACGCATTGAATCATGAGGTGCTTAGAGATTGTTATATGGGGTATTGAACGTGAATTCTTACCTAGACGTTTTAATTTTACATGCATCTGTTTTTACCGGCACAGTTCACCAATATTAAAGCAGTTTAGACATAAATAAGGAAGTTTAATCGAAGTTCGCAATAAATATGATCTGTGCAAATTCCGAAACATCTTTAATAAATCACTTATTACGCAATTTAGTTTTCCCTAATTTCCACTGAATATTAATGATGCACACTTTTCACAATGTTTCCATGCAAATGGGTCACAACAGTATGATATTAAACCAACTCAACTAGATTCAAACTTATTTCCTTAGTGTTGTAGAAAAAGATGCGTTGTTATTCACGATGCAATTATTGACACCGTGTCCCATGTTGCATTGACACGTTCTGACATAAATCACGTCAAATACCACTGGCTTGTTTATTGAGTACGTACATACTTACGCCGACACTAAGTCGTCAGCTGAGTAGGCGGTCCTTCAATGCGGCCAGGGACACACTTGTGTTCACACTGCTATAGAAATGCGACCATATGCGTCTCAGACCACCTGTGGTTTGAGTGATCGGATCTCGATGCGTCCTTAACCCAATCACACCTGTAATTTAGCGCTGTCCACTTGTGATGGGATCACCCAGGACGCATGTTAATACCAGGTGTGAGCAGGGTCTGTGTCTGTCTGAGTGTCCTGCTCACTGTGGCTGTCTGTGTCTGTGTGCCTCTCCCCTCCATGGCCTGTGCTGTGATTGGCAGGGAGGGGGCAGAGACCATGTACTACTTCTCATCTCTGGCACTGACGCTGAATGAGCCGGAAGAGGGCATGGCCCCCACGGACAGCCGGCGGCGGCCCGATCAGCGGCTCATGGAGCAGGGCCGCTGGGAAGAGGCCAACGCGGAGAAGCAGCGACTGGAGGAGAAGCAGCGCAGCGTGCGGCGCGAGCGGGAGCGGGAGGCAGCGCGGGTGGCGGGACCCACCGAGGACGGTGAGGGGAGGGGGCAGTGGGGGGGGGGGGGGGGGGGGGGGGGGGGGGGGGGGGGGGGGCTGGAGGCCGCGTCGGGCCTCACCAAGGACGGTGAGGGGAGGGGGCAGTGGGGGGGGGGGGGGGGGGGGGGGCCGCGTGGGGGTCGGGCCTCACCAAGGAC